AAAAAAAACCCTATGCCAGGTCATAAAAACATTGTGCACTGCAGGGCCAGACCTACAGATCAGTCCAATGTCCAAGTGTATGAAATTAAGATATATGGGTCCCTGTTAATTTGTTACTCCTGTGAAATTTATGTCAGAACCTTAAATATGTTGGGTAGACTCAAGACAGGTCTAATTTAAAGCTAATGGGGAAAGTTATTGGTTTCTTGTACTCAGGCATTATATTTTTAATGCTCTGTCAGTGTGCTCTGAGTACAAACATTAGTGTCAGAATTTTTTTATAATACTTATCTTGTGAGTTTCATAATTTGTAATGGCTGTGCAGTTTTTACAGGTGTATTTAATGGCAAAATCTTATCTGCATTTTAAAAGCTCAAGTGTAGTTTGATTTTCTGGGAATGGGAGGAGGGGAGGAATACCATTCTCTCCTTGGGGAGACAGCAGTTTCCTTGTGCAGCATTAACTTGAAAGAATATGAGAAGCGCGTATGTTGCCAACAGCAGTGTGGACGTATAGAGTTCTGAAAATAGTAAGTGTCAATAGGGAAGGGTTGCAGGTGCCAGAAGAAAAATGTAAGCTCCCGAGGGCACTATCTCTATTTTTGCCTTGTCCAATACCAAGCCACATAGGTTGACGCTTAAAATTTAGTTCTTCCCTGAAAAGTGATTATATAAGAAAGAAGGTCCCATTTCAGAACAGATATGTTTCCTGCATGTATTCAGAATCACATTTATTTGTTTCTGTGACTCTCTTTTTAATATACTATTTACACCTGTTATACGCGTGCAGCCAAAAGCGATGTGAGGGAGAAAACAAAAATCCGCTTCTCGCCAGGTACGAGCCGTGGAGCTGCTGCGATGGGGCAGCTCTGCCCGGGGCTCATAGGCAGCAGGACTTCTGCATCGTCTCTTCTTGGGAACACAGCAGCCATGCTCTGCGGCTCTTTCCCCTCTGCAAAACACCAGCCTAGAAATCTGTAACAGGGGATTAAACCACTTAACCTGCAATGGCAGCAAACTGAGACGATTATTAATTCTTTCATCCTTGTTAGCCACCAAGGACAAGTGATCGCTCTTCTTTATAGCAATCTTTTCATATGGTTGAAAACTGTCATCACATTCCCTGTGAGCTGCTTCTGTCTCACACTAAATACAGCTAGGTCCTCCTCCCTTGCTTCCTGTGAGTCTTTGGGGGTTGGTTTGTTTGTTTGCTTGTGTCTTTAAACTCAATGATTCCTGTTGTTCTCAGCTAAATTCTTTGAGAGTGGGTGGCCCAGACCTGGCCACAGTACTCCAGAAGTGGATGGACTATTCCAGTTGAAGTCTTTTCCAGAGATGTGTTTGCTGGAGTGGAAGGGAATTATATCTAAGACATTTCCCTTATTTTCAAGAGCAACAGATTGCTGACATATTTGCTTTATGATCTGGACTGTTTTCTACAGTACTGCTTAGCTAGTTATTCCCCATTTTGTATTTGTGCTTTTGTCACTTCACTTTATTGGATTTCATCTTCATTTCAGATCATTTCTGCAATCTATCAAAATAATTTTGAATTCCCATTCTGTCCTGCAACGTATCTGCATCCTCTCTCGAGCGTGGTTTCATGTACTGACTTTTTACATGAACCCCGTTCTGCCTTGCAAGTCATTAAACAAAAATAAAGGAATCTGGAGAAAATGCCATAGGCTCAATTGGCCTTATAGTCCAGTTGCAAGATCTATTTTGGTTCAGCAATCACCATCACAGGCAAGTAGAAAAGCCTCATTTGGCTTTCAGACTCTTAATCATGTAAGTGTGTAAGGTGTAAAGAAGAACCCAGCTTGACTCTCAGATCACACAGTGAACATGTGGGACTATTAGATGGAGGGGGAAAAAAGAACATCATTGTACTTAAAATCTGATTACATTTGCCAAAGAAATCAGAGTCAGGAAAAAATATTGAAACCCTAGGATTCCATTTACTTGGAGACCCTATTCAGAGTTGAGCCATGCTTCAAATTACAAATAATACTGGGGGTGGAGGGGATCAGAGGGAACAATGACAGTTGTGGCAGAAGACGTTTTGCTGCTGGGGTAGCTGGCTACAGCAGCATGGCGTCGCCACTTCTGACCCAACTCGCTGGCTGTCTCTGCCCTCTTCTCTCCTTTGACCCATTCCTTAAGTTTATTTTAATACAAAATATTTTTAAAGTATTAATTTTTTTTTGGTTACGTTTAGGCCATTATTTCAATGTTTGAGCGTGTGAGTGCACTACGTGAAAGGGAGGTTGCCATGGTAATTTCTCATTATTGTTGAATAGAAAAATAATTACTCTGGCAAAATCCCCCGTAACCTGTCAGAGCATAAGTTAAAGATGCCTGGGGGCAGCCTTGCCTTCACCATCCCCTTTTTGCAAGAAAAAGGGGGTGATTTTATTATTCTTCTTTTTTTTTTCATAATAACTGGATCCTTTTTCAGCTTGGCTAGGGGACACCTCATTTGGTTTTGTTCACCATTTGGCTGTGAGAGTAGTTGGGCCCACCGGTGACAAGGGTGGAGCAGAGAATTAATCAGCAGAGCGTATCCAAGCCTGACAGAGGATTTATATATTCTATTAAGGTTTGGGGATTTTTTTTTTGTGCGTGGGGGTGGAGTGTTGCATTTTCTGTTTTTCCTTCTTCCTGACATAAAATATGCAAAAGCATAAGATAAAGACCTTGGACAGTATTCAAACTGTGACAGAGTCTGGATATTTCATCTGTCCGGGGAGGGAATCTACAGTAATTCCGTCTACACATTTTCCTTGCCTTCAGACTTCTTGGAAGCAAGAGTGAGTGCAAATATGTGTGGTTTTGAGGTGAGGCCCTACACTTTCCCTGCTTTTCTTTGTCTTTCCCGTGTGCCTTTGCGTCCCAACTATGTGATGCTCCCCTTTTGCCTCCCGTGTTGTTGGATGCTGCCTGAGTAGCTCAGTGATACTCAACTACTGAGTTAACAAGTGCTGCAAATCTGGTATGTGACATTGCTCAAATCCTTCCCTCCCCTACATTGCTCAAATCCTTCCCTCCCCTCTTCCTTCCCTATGACAACTGTGTCTGAAAGATCCCAGTTAAACAATACTGCAGCCTCTCTTTTGGCAAATGGCAGAGAGTGGTAGCTCGTAATTACTTCTTGGACAATAAAATCTCATATGGGCTTATAATGTCACCTACCAGGCTGTCCTGAGTGAAGGGTTGGTGTGCAGAGGTGTGTTGCTAGAAGCAGGTTGCTGGGCTTCTGCTGAATACCTGCATATATATTCTGTACTTACTGTTGTAGCTACTTGGCTGGTCAATGCAGTGATGTTCGCACATGGAAACACTCATTGGATTTACACCAGCAAAGAGGAAAGAGCAGCAGCTCTCTGTGAGAACACACTTCTAAGACGTGGGGATGGTTTTGATACCTCTCTGTGTGACTGAATTTTGAGCAAGCACCACAGGCCCGTGCCACTTGTTGTCCTGCTGCTTCCAGGTGGGATGAGCCTTGGAAAGGAAGATGAATTACAGGCTCTGACCCAGCCGAGAAGTCTCTTGGGGTTCTCTGGTAGGAGCTGGAATGCTAAAACCTGTCCTTACTGTTTCTCCATTGGATGCTTGGCAAAAATCAAAGTAAAGTCATGAGGCAGAAAAGATACCCTGCTCAGCAGTTTGGAGTGAAATCCAATAGTAACGTCTTCAGGAAAAACAGGAGCAGAACTAAAAAACCCAGATAGTTATTTCTCTGCATGTGTGCATATAATGAGTATGATAGATGCATGTTTTGTCTTAAATTGGCATTTTATCTTAGGGTTTTTTTCCCATGAAAGTAACAAATGTTTTCTGGCTTAGTTACATATTGCTCGGGCATTAAGAGGTACTCAGGGCTCACTACACTGAATGAACCTGGCCTTGCACGCTGGGAAGGCAGCTGCCGGGAGTGGGATAGAGTGGCTCCGAGCAGTGCGATGGAGGCATCTTCAGAAGCGTATTTCCAGCTTTGTTGCTGATCCTGTGTGCTGCAAGTGATTGAAATCTCAGGGCCTCAAAGGAGCGGAAGAGATTGCACCAAACATTTCAAATCCAGCTATTAAATACATCCATAGCTATTAAATGAAACAGCTGGTGGATTCTGTTGTTGCCTGACTTCTGTGAAAACCCTTTCAAGCTGGACCACTTGCACAGGTGCTATACATCGAAGTTTGGGTGCCTCTTGTTGATCACCCAGGTCTGAAAATGCCTGGTTCAATTGTCAAAGCCAACAGACTACCTGTAGTGGTGTATTGGTATATGCTTTACATTGTACATTGTATTAATAATTGCTATGTTCCAGCTACGTGTGTTACTGTAGGACTAAGTATACACAGGTCAACTTAAAATATTGTTTTCACTTCATGTATCACACTGAAAAGTAAAGATTTCTCACAACAATTACACTTAAGTAACTAGCTGGTATTTAATTAACCTGCAGTAGCATTGTATTTATATTAAATGCATTAGAGTGGAATGGCTATTATATTTAATTTCTAAATAACTTTCTTGTCAACTCATGCTGATATTCAGGTTATGTAGCATTATAGAATTAAGTACTGAGGTTTTTTCATTATTAGGACCAAGCATTTGGGATACACAGCCCAGAAAAGCGGGGGGGGTGGGGGGTGGGGAAAGTCATAGTCGCTTTCTTCGCAACTGATTTATAAAACCATTTTTAACATTTGAAGCAAAACATGTACTTAGGAGAATGGAAGTTTTTACATATTTAGTGTGCTTGATAAAATGAAAGGCAGTTTATTCTATAATAAACAAAACATTTTAGCTTTTTTCTTAAATTAGAACTAAAGCTTTATCTAGGAAAATTAGTTTGAAATATCATACAGACATCTACACCCCAAAATCATAGGTAAAGAAGCGCAAACTATGAGTGATCCTGTAGAATTTCTTTTACAAAGGATGAATGTATTTTCATTTTGCCTCCTGTTAAGTGAATGATCTGTTGCTTCCTAGGATAGTGACAACCTCTGGTGGGATGCCTTTGCAACTGAATTTTTTGAAGATGATGCAACCTTAACCCTTTCATTTTGTTTGGAAGATGGACCAAAGCGATACAGTAAGAGATACATTTTTTGTTCTAATTTTAAGCCTGAGTTTCTAAACACAGTTTATCTGTAAGAGGCAGATGCAACCCCGGCAATGACAAAGTCACTTGTTTGCATTCAGTGGCCATCAAGTTCCATTAAATAATTGCATGGGTTGGAGATCCTTTTTTTTGTGGAATTCCTCTGAATTTTATTTCATGAAAATAAATTATTTCCTAGTGGAGTAGGGCAAATAATACAATATAAACTTTGTAATTTTTTAATTAATTTGCTTTGGCTGTGCTTGCACTCTTTGTTAATTTGGTTTCCGCAAACATTCGAGTGTTGAGTCTTGTGGGCAAAATTGTTCACGGAAAGGGAACTTTGTAGCAAATTGTTGCTGGAAGGGCTTCCAGATTTAAACAGTGATCAGAAAAAAAATACCACAAGCTATATCCTTGCTGGTGTAGATAATCATTATTCCATCAGCTGCGTGGATCTATGCTGTTTGCACACATTAAGGACCTGCCCTGGATATTGTCTGAACAGCAGTGGAAGTCTAGAATACTCTCAATCAAGCACTAAATGAAAGCGCGAATAAAAGTGAAGCAGTGAATAAATCTGATGGCATTGGTATCCATTGTCTGCATACACTGAACAGGAAAAAGGGGTAAAATTCATCGAACAAATTGTTTGAAGTGAATAATTCACTCAGCTTTAGCACTAAGCAACAGAGAGATAAGTAAACATTGAAAAACTGCATTGCCAATTGTTTCACTCCATTCAGAGTGACCCCTGCTTCACGGTGACAGCTTGTGCTCTCTGCTTAATGTTCTGAATCTTGCAAGGTTCTTCCTTTTTGTGAGAGTGACTGATTGTCAGTGTATCGCTCACATACTTCTAATTCCTTTTATCAATTATCTCAGGTATTTATTTGACAAGTGTTACCTTCTCCTGGAGAAAAAATAACAGCCACTTTGAACGCACGTTCTGGGATTAGTGTTGACAGAATTACAGTTTCTTGCCTTTCAAAGCAAGTGATAACTCTGTAAAGGTCCTCAAATTACAGCCTATAGCAACGTTGGTAACAGCTGATCTGTCCTGATTAGGTTCAGTCAACTTGTCAGATATCAGATTTGCTAGTTGTGTTATCACTCCAGAAGGCACAGATACATCAGCAAAAAAGCAATTAATGTCCAGTTAGATCAGAGGGAGTTGTGTTTCTGGAAAACAGTGCTGCATATGAAAGAATTTGTCAAAGAGTAAAATATTCCTGTTGTCACAAATGCTTGATAATGATTGTGCTATCTGTAGCTGGGACAGTTTGGTATGGGGCAATACTGTGACTCTTAGCCTTGTTGCTGATAAGCGTGATTGAAAGATCAAATTACTGAGGGCATGTTCTTAAAAGCCACTAGTACACAGGATTTTTCCTCTGGCTGTAATTTCTGACCTCTGCACAAACTGTTGTTGCTTTTGGTGTTGTTATTCTCAGCATCTGGAATTAAAGCTCAGCATATAGGGCTCTTTCTGTTCATTCACGCTTCCTTTCCTTCATTAGTAAATATTTACGTAATTCTGAACTACAGTGTTAGTGATTCCTTCTGACACGAGCAGCATTCCTGTTTAATGATACTCTAGAGTGCATGCTTGAGCTGTTCCAGTCTGGGACTTACAGACTTGCCATCTCAGCAGACTTTGAGAGCAGCCTTGGGGGCGCTGGGTTGTCCAAGTCCCTGCTTGGGGACACCTCCAGTGTTGCTTGGGGAGGGCGCAGAATGAAGGTTGTGTTAAGAGCAACCCTCTCGTCCTACCAGGGAAGACTGTGCCCAAAAACACGTCCAGGAGTTGAGAACAGAGCAGTCTGCTCCCCTTTGGGTGCAAACATTAGCAGAAAATCACTTCTACATCTAGCAGGTCCTTGCTGAGCAGAGAGACCTGATCGAGGTCTGCGTTTTGCCCTCTCAAGCCACGCGCATTCTCCATTACACCTATGGAGGGTCTTGGCACCATCCAGTCACCCAGTAACTTTATTCCAAGTAACTGGTGAAATCGCTGGCCAGTGGGCTAGGGTTCTTGTTAGATGAGCCAGAGTACGCTGAGGGCAGCACCAAACGTGGAGTTTTGGAAGAGAGGAAACAAAAGTGCCTGGTCTTCATCCGCGCTGTCCCTATACATAGTGAGCATTAAAAACATTGGAACTGGCTGAGAGGGGAAAGACAAATTGTTCTTACTCTTGTAGACACAAGCAGTAATGGAGGGAACCAAGATTAGGCCCTAGAAGAGAGAAATAGGCATCCTCTGAGAAGTCGTTTATAGAGTTGAAAGTGATGAAAGATGCCAACCTCTTGCCTTTGCTCCAGGATTCAGCTCAAAATTGCTTGCTTTTGTCTTGCTTCAGCCTGTGAGAGATTTGCTTACATCTCTGACATTGGTTGTGGCTGCCACCTCATTTTCTTTCCTTTGGGCAATGGTTTCCCTCTTTTGAGAACTAAATTACTCTCTTCTGGAGCAAACAAATTCCAGAAAAAAATCTCAGTGGGGGGGTGGGGGAAGGACAAATAGTTTTTCGTTGTCCATGGCCACAATTTTTCTCTGGGTTACGGCAATTCCCAGTCCTTTTCCCTCCTTGTTCTCAGGGACTATCTGGATCTTGCCTTAAGCTGACGGAGATGAGGAGGAGCACCGTGTTTTGCCTCAGGTTCCTTCTTCAAAGCCACCAAGAGTGTTGTGGGAGGCTGCCGGGAACTCGCATATTCTCTTCTGCTCTTCTCTAGTTTTGACTGCAGTTCCCAAATCCCTCTGGGGCCTTCTTTTCCCTGCTTGCTTTAAACTTTTCCTTTTCATGGAAAGCCTTTCTCTCAGCTGGCTCTCTCTGCCCTCTGCTCTTAGCTGGACAGCCCAGTCCCACAACCAATGCAAATGTTCAGAGCACATGAATCAGGCCTGTAAATAATTGTTTTTGTAAGTGTTACAAGATTTAAAAAAAATACTACTTTTACTTGCCTCCTGTCTCTTTTAACTTTTAATATACAGTTCTGTCCAAGAAACTGTAAGGGTTGTAAACTCACCTTTTCTTTGTTCCAGAAAACTAAGCTGCTTATTTAATTCCATGGCCCCAAACTGAAGCTTTATGAAAAACACCAAATATTTTTAGGCCTGCCTTGCACATTATCGTGTTTGACAGCACACCTCTCTATACTGAGAAAAGTGTTTTTCTTCCCTTTGCTACACTCACTGTTGGGTCTGCAAGGTTTCTCCTCGACTGTCGGCTCTGAGATTCTTTAATTTGTAGGGG